GAATTTGTGAAAAAAGTGACAGGTGTCAGCACCAGGCGGCCTTTATCGGCTGTGCTGGTGCTCGAACCCGCAGCCGTCGAGTCCATGCAGCCGGCCGTGTGGAGCCAAGCTTGCAGCGGCTATCCATGAGCAGCTAGATTTGGTGTCAGATGGACTTCGATTCAAGTGCAAAACCTCTTCTGCAGGTCTGACTTCCTAACTGATGCTGGCACTTTACATGTTGTTGGCCCTTGGCCAAGCTTTCAAAGTCGGTGGGCAGCTCAGAGCACCATGAAATCTTCTTTAGCTTCAGCAGTGGTCAGCGTGCAGCGGCATTGGAGCAGCCCAGGACCTGCGTTGCTGGGCAGCCCTGTGTATTTCAGAACTTTGCCGGTGCTTACTTGCAAGTCTGGGGCCCGGACGTGATACTTCATTCGCTGCATGCTGCAGAGCTCTACACCCTTGTGCAGCCTTCCGTGAAGACAGATCATTCACTTCGTGCCGCCTTGTGTTCTGAGGATGGCGACAGGATCATGATCCTCAGCACATGCGCCCACTACTTAGCCTTGCTCAGTCATCGCAACGATTTCATGTAGGTAGGAGGCTCCATTGTTTTAACGGGAAAGCTGACAAGCGACATCGTATGCAGTCTCACATTGCGTTGGCAAATCTACAGTCCACTCCCAGACGCAACAACTGCTGTGCACCCCAGGCCAATCACTACTTCACGGCCTTGAACGCTGTGGTGCCGCGAGCAGCAGCTGGCGGCCTGTCAAACGCAGTGACTTGGATTAAGCTTGGCCGGCCTACTTGTGGCGGTGCAAACCTTGCTCTGTGTGAGGCCACTGCTGCCGGTACAGCCTTTGAAATTCCGTCGTCGAATGGCCATTCAGTTTCTTCAGCTGGTGGCATTTACCGCTTGTGTTGGTGTGCATCGGGCTTCAACTGCCAACTGCCTCGCCACTTCCAGATAGATGCAGGAGCTATGACAATCATTGGACCCTCTCCCCAATACCAGGACCGCACTTGCGTGTCGGGCCAGCCGTGTTTTGCCTACAACATTACTGGGCAAGATCTGGGAAATGGCGACCGCTTCATGGTCTTGGAGACGTGCGGCCTGTTCACAGCGCCGCGTCGCTTTACAGGCGGAGGCGTGTCAGACCTCATGTCGCAGAACGGCACGCTGGCAACTTGGGGTCAGGAGCCGACATGTATGGAGCCTTACAACTTCGATTGCCAGGGAGTGCGTCCTACCAGCCAGGGTGGAAATTTCCGGCTTTGTTGGTGCGCGCACAATTATACCTGCTCTCTGGCGAGTGATTTCCGGGTGGACATCGGACACTTGTCCTTCTTGGGTCCTTACCCCCTCACTTACAGCAGGACTTGTGTCGCTGGGCAGCCCTGCGCCTTTTTCGACATCGAGGGTCATTACACACAAGATGGTGACAAGCTGATGACCCTGGACACCTGTGCGCATCCAGAAACTCTGCAGCTGATTCAAAGTTCAGACAAGTGGGCTGTGTACAATCAGCTTTTGGTGGCTGCAGGTCAGTACGGTTGGTTTGACGGCCCTTCAAACAATGCTTCTTCAAATGGGTCCAGTTTCTCTTGGGGTCTTGCTGGTCAAGTGATCACAAGCCCAGGTGGGCTCTACAGGATGTGTTGGTGTGCTGCAAACTATCCGTGCTTCGGAGCGAGGGACTTTCAGACAGACATCGGTGAGCTCAACGTCGTAGGGCCCTTCCTAGAGCTCCCTGACCCGACGGGTCTGTTGACCTTGGAGCAGCGCTTGCAGAAATTTACCTGCACAACCAACGAACCTTGCTCCATTTCGAGCCTTCAGGGTCAATTCCTCAGCGATGGCGATCTCATAATGGTGAAGCGCGATTGTAGCCCTGCATGGGAATTCAATTCCACCGTACCGTTCTGGCCATCCAACACGTTTGTCTGGGGCATCAGTGATCCTGGAATTGTCGAGACCACCTTTGATGATGTCACATACCAGACATATAACTGGGCACAGATAGGGACTACAAGTGAGCGTGAAGTGAGATCTGAGGGTGCTTACTACCGCTTGTGTTGGTGCGCTGCTGGCTACACCTGTGCAGACCCCATCGACTTTGCGGTGGATGCAGGGACCATGAAGCTGATTGGGCCACATCACAACCAGGCAAAGACATGTTTTTCTGGTGCTGCGTGCACGGCAAACTTTATAACAGGCGTTGGATTGAGCAACGGAGACCGGACTATGGTGTTGCGCTACTGTGACACTGACTTGTACATTGCACGATTTCCCAATGAAGGCTACTCAGATCCAGCAGTTGACAACGGCACCACCATCACCTGGTCAGGTGCTGATGCAGCCCCAGTGACTTCACCTGGGGGATTCTACAAGCTTTGCTGGTGCGGAGCTTCCCAGACCTGCACACGGAGTGGCTCCAACTTCAGAGTCGAATACGGCCTCTTGTATATTGTGGGGCCATCGCCCCTCACTCAGAGCAAGACCTGTCTCAGCGGCGAGCTTTGTACAGTCGAAGATTTTGCAGGTTACGGTCTGAGTAATGGCGACCGAATGATGATCTCCACGAACTGTGGCGACCCGAATGGGGTTATCTCCAGATTCCCAAACAGGGGAATCTCAAGCGATTCGACTGATAACGGTACAACGTTTACATGGGACGACTATGTGACAGCAGGCGGAGGCATCTACTGGATGTGCTGGTGTTCGAACATGTACACTTGTGACCGAGCAGATCTATTCAACGTGGAGAGTGGCTTGCTGACACTTCCAGGGCCATACTTGGGCCAGGAGAGGACATGCAGAAGTGGCACGGAGTGTGGCTTCTCAAATCTGCGTGGAATCGGCCTGGCAGATGGTGATAGAATCATGGTCCTGAACCAGTGCGGAACAAACGACGCGCTTCCTGGCTGGCCTGACAACGGCATCTCGGATCCAGCCATTTTCCAGGGCACTGAGTACGCTTGGGGGATCTCCAGCGGTGGCCTCCACGTGACTGGTGGCGGAGGTGAGTATTCCATGTGCTGGTGCTCAGTCACAGCTCCAAATTGCTCTTCTGGAGAGTACTTCCGCACGGAGGTGGGTATCATGAAAATGCTTGGGCCGGCAATTGGGCAGAGGAAATATTGTACCAGTGGCCAAGTGTGCAGCATCACGCAGTTTGGCGGGTACGAGCTCCAGAACGGGGATCGCATCCTCATCAGCCCATCTTGCCTACCCGAGAATGCATCTTTCATTCCCGGCTTCTCTAACAACGGCATCTCCATAGGGACAGCTGGAGGTTCGCGCTTTGATTTTGAAGGCCGCCTCACGGCCTCTGGAGGAATTTATGCAATGTGCTGGTGCCCTGCTGGCTCTCCATGTCAGTCGCCAGACAATTTCCAAGTCGACACTGGCAACCTCACAGTGATTGGTCCATTCCTGGATCATGTGAAGACCTGCATCTCCAGTCAGGTGTGTCAGTTTGATGGATACCTTGGGCAATCTCTGCTGATCAGCGACCGGATCACAGTGCTGGCTACCTGTGGAACGAGCTTTGTGCTTCCACGGATGCCCAACACCGCCTTGTCCACTGAGCACTCCAACTTCGGAAACTCGGTCTCTTGGGGACCTCTGCGGGCTACAGCACCTGGAGGTCAGTATCGGCTGTGCTGGTGTGCAGCCACGTCCAAGTGCAGTTCTCCTACAGACTATGTGGTTGACAGCGGTGAGCTGCACATGATTGGTCCGAATCTGTATCAGCTGCAGCAATGCTATCCTGGTGTTGTGTGCAGCTTTGACAACTTCCTTGGCTATGGACTTCAGAGTGGTGAGAAAGTGATGGTCTTGGAAGTTTGTGGGCTTGGATCTGGAGTATCCGGCTTTCCAAATGGTGCAATTTCAAATTTGGCTGTCAGAGATGGCATGCAATATGGTTGGGGAGATGGGTCGAGCAGCACCAATTACTTTTCCCTGAACACTTCAACTCCCGGTGGCTTCTACCGCTTGTGCTGGTGCCCAGCGGCCAGTGGTTTGGAGGCATGTACCAGCAGCCAAGACTTCAGGGTTGATGCTGGTGCCTTGATTGTTAAAGGTCCGTTTGCTCAAGTGAACACCTTGTGCGCAGCCGGCCAGACTTGCACACTTGGTCCTTGGGACGGAGCACTTCTTGCTCTTTCAGATCGTGTATTGATCATCCCGGATGGCACGACCTGTGGCCAGACTGCTGCAGATCCCCAGATAGCTCAAGGTGAACCTAGGGGAGTTACCTGCAACCTGGAGCTAACCACATGCGAAGCCAGCTTGAGCAGCGTGGAGACACAGCATGGAGGACTTTTCAAGGCGGAGCTTTCCGAAATTGAGGGTACCATTGTTGGGGTTTCAGGATTACAGCATTTTGGGGGTCTATAGTGGGGTCTCTCTTTTTTGGGGAAGCTACCAGGTCTGCTATTGCGTGACCTACCTGGACACAAATGGCACAGACACGCTGCCCTGTACCGAGCCATCCGAGTTCACAAGCTATGCCAGCAATCTCCAGGCGCAAGCCTGGGTTTAGGGTTTATTGTTTAGGCCTTTAGGGTTTATTGTTTAGGCCTTTAGGGTTTATTGTTTAGGCCTTTAGGGTTTATTGTTTAGGGTTTAGGCCTTTAGGGTGTCTTGTTTAGGGTTTAGGGCGTACAATCTCGTACAACTTGTTCGAAGATGGTCCTCTGAATGTAGCACCATGCTAAGGTAAACAAGTCATTTCCAAAATATACGCAGCTGCTTACACGCAAGGGTTCCCATGTCAGGTGCGCGGCCCTCTTGGAGCCCAGGTGCGGTTGAGCTCTGTGTGCTGCAGCGATTTTGTCACGTTGTGAGGCGAATAATACTATATAACAACAATAGCTTTATCTAGCCATAGTGATGGTAGAAATAGCAATAATACCAAGAATTGACATTAATCCATGAGAATTAACTGAACCCCGCGCAGGCATACGCATGTGTTGTCGGCATCGATTGCGAGATAACAGTCATTGGCTTCATGCTGTCAGTGCTTGACCGAGCGAAACTTGCCGAATTCTTAGCACCTTGCAGTCTGGCTTCAGTGTTTGGACAAGGAGATTGCGACAAAGCGTGTCTTTAACTCCATTGCAAGGTGAAAGATGGCTCTCCTTGCAACGGCAATCCAGTTGGAGGGGTGCCGGCTCAGGCGGGGATCAAGCCGCGTGCCAGCTGAGCAAGAGATTTTCTGTGTGATATCAGAACTTGCAGGAAGTCCTCATCCAAAGTGGCCAATCCCTGCAGACGAACAGCATCGCCCCGGAGCCAGACCTAAACAGCTCCCAGAACAGGCGGGAACCACTGCCATGCTGAACTGCTGGCTTAAGAGCGAAGAGATTTTCTTGAGGTTTGTGCTTGGTGGCATCCGCGAGAGTGGAGACTACAAGGCCCAGCAAATTGTTGCGCTAGCTTACAGCCTCTGTTTGCGTCGTTACTCGCCGGAAGGTGTGCTATTGTTCTAGCGTCCTGTCCTGTGCAAACCCGTACGACTTTGGCGGGGTGGCTGGAACCGTTATGGTCTCTGGAGCGGACTCAACGCAAGTCCTCAGCTCAGCGAATCAAGCGCTGGCCCTTCACAAGAAACATCTGATTGCAGAGAAGCAAGCTTGGGACGTGACAGTCCACTTCAAGTATAGTCCCCCTTAAGTAGATAGAATATGGCTTTGGGTATAGTATAATAAGGTCCCCATATACCCCATATTTTCTTAAGGGGGACTATATCCTCAAGACGTGCCTAGTCCAGCGCACTCAGGTCTACGTTTGCAGACGTGGCTCTGAGTGCTTGATTGAGCTCAGAGGATGGCGCTTGGGACCGACCTTTAACTGCAAAAGGCTGCAATCATGGAGAACCACATGCAAAAGGGTTTGGGGTTTAGGGAACTACTATAACATTGGGGTTATCTTGGGATAATGGAAAATAAGATGGAAACTACTATCTTATAATAGGGTATATACATATATGTATATATATGACCTGCAACTGCAAAAGGACTATTATGGGTTTTTATAGAGATACTATAGGGATAATGGAAGAGAAAATGGAAACTACTATTTTGGATTATGTAGGGTTATATAGGGTATATATTGGGGTTATATAAGAAATAGTGGAAAAGAATATCCCTAATGGAAAGAAGATGGAAACTACTGTAGTAAATGAGTTAGGTGTTAATGTACAGATTCAACTGCAAAAGGCTGCAATAATGGAGAATCAAATGGAACAGAAAAATGAAAATGACATGGAAGCCCTGGTTCCCTTTAAAGGGGTAATGGCTAATAAATGGAAGCTACAATACTAATTCTCGAATTCTATTGGGGTTAAAATGGGATAATGGAAAATAGCATGGAAACTACTATTTAGGGTTTGGCTTATTAGGGTTAATTTGGAGTACCACCCCTTAATAACACCTATAATGGAGAATCAAATGGAAAGAACGTGGAAGATCAAATGGAAACTGATGTTTATAGGGTATTACCCCCAATCATGGAGAACCGAATGCAAAAGAAAATGGAACATGAAATGGAAAATTGTGTTATGTGGTTTAGCCTTTTAGCACTTATAAGTTCTTCCAACGAGGAACGATCGCCTGAAGATCGTTGCCGAGGGAAGCAACTGTGCCGTAGACTCTCCCACTTTTGGATTCGGTGCTGCGCTCAGGCTGTCACTTTGATTTACTGGGGGTAAGTAGGGAATAAAGGAATACACTCCCTCTATAATGTGCTCCCTTGTTCCCCACTAACCCCCAGTAGGTCGCTTTGATATCTTGTGATGTGCTGCCCCGTCCCTGCGCCATTGCCTTGTCCTTAGGTTCCAATCCGGCATGGGTGCAGGGACAGGCGTGGACGTTGATTTTCATGTTCATTATAGGGATTACATAGGGCTTTTACTGGGATAATGGAAAAGAAAATGGAAACTACTGTAATATATTAGGGTTATATAGGGTCTATATTAGGGTTATATAGGCTCATATTAATATTGTGAAGCGCGGAAGAGGCATCGAGTAGCAGCTTGTGCAGAAGCAGGTTACCACCTACTTGGATGAGACGAACACCACAAGCATCAACATCTTCAATGTCGGTGTTGCGAGGGTGGCAGCCTGCAGCTTCTTTGAGATAAGCTGCATGTGAACATTGCCTTCAGGTGGGGACGCAGGAGGAAGGATGCCTTCCGGATGACGTCAACTGCGGCTACAAGTTGTGCTACTGTCCAGGAATTGGAGACTGCCGCTTGGATGTTTTGAGAGACACTCGAAGATCATCAATGGATCGGATTTCAAGTCTGTCCACGCATGCTGCAACTAGTTACGCGAGTTGTGTTCTGAGGTTCAGCTGGCTCCTCCTACACTCATGCTGCAGGATGCTTTCCAGACCGCCCAGCCCAGCTGATCAATCTTAGTGATCAATGTGCTCCAGGAGCTTTGCGGGTGACAGAGTCTATCCGGGCCATCGAAATCGACACGTCTTTCGATCCTTGGCCAGAGTTTGCTCTTTTGAATCACTGATACGACCGTAAAATGATGCTGACGCTGCTTCCTAAGTTGCGGTCTTGACCTGCAGTTTCTTGTCAAGCCGGGTGGTCCAAGGCTGTAACTTCCCATTCGCTCGGCTTGCTTGTCGACTCTTCCTACGGAGGCAGTGCCTGCTCTTTCATATCCCGCGTGATTCCACAACTGGATTTCAAAGGTGGCTTGATCCGTTGTGTCGTGAACGACGGGCCTGCAACAGAGCAGGGAGCTTAGCTTGCCCCGAACCGCAGCAAATCAGCTTATATATTGGGGTTATATAGGGGCTATATTGGGATAATGGAAAAGAAAATGGAAACTGCTACAGTATAATAGGGTATATATTGGGGTTATATTTGGATAATGCAAAAGAAAATGGAAACTACTACAGTAATAGCTGCTTCAAGAAGACTAGAGCCGATGTTTGTTCAGGTGGGGCTTATACCCTGACTCCAGCTTCTTCACGTTCGGGCCGGGCTCGGGCGATGTTGGCTGGGGAGCATCATCTGGGCAGGCCCGGTGAGAGTTACCAGAACATGAAGGGACACCCTTCAAGTACAACAACCCACCTGTACCTGTATATATATATATACATACTTAATACGAAAATATAGTATAATATACTATAATATGGCATGTTGGTCGTGAGGGTTCATGCAGCAGGCTGCCTCTGGAAAGAACGCCCTGACCATCCATTTGACCCAATTCGTCGAGGCCAGCCTGACATGTTCGCTGGGTTCCCTGCATTTCCTTTAGTGTGATGTTTATTGCGGTCGCATATGGAACTCTGTTTCAGACCAATTGGATGTGGCGCTTGCATGAGACAGAACCGTTTCGGGTAGCCGCTTGTCCTCATACTGGTGCTTGCCACGTTGTCGGATAGAATCCTTAATAGCAAGCCCCACAATCTCCTTGCAACCCCCATGCACCCCCCACGGCCTACGGTTCCTAGAGCCACCCATTTTCAGAAACCTTAAACCCAAAACCCTAAACCCTGAAATGCTGGTGTGGAGGCTGGCCAAATCTTGAGAACCTGGTGCTTCCTCTCGGATTCGCCCGCTTACGTTTTCCCACCAGATCTGGAGGGAATCCAGGCTGATCAGAGCTTTCAAAGTCTAGCGATGCTGCATATGGATATACTACTAATCTATACTAATCTTGAGCGTCTCTCTAGATAAGTTCTTCCCTGTTCAGGTGGCTGTTCCTTTGAGCATGAAGACGCCAAGGGCAGACTATCTACCAAGCAAGGGCTGGCACAACAGCTTGCACAGGCTGCTAACCTGCACCAGAGACGATGCGGTGTTCCGGCACGTGACTTGCATCTCACTGAGGATTCAAATCCTTGATGTGGCCACCTCACAAGGACTGGTAGGCAGGGGCAAGAATAATGGAAAATCAAATGGAAACTACTTTAGTATATATATATACAGGGTTTTATGGGGATAATGGGAGTGTGCAGATGAGATGCTTGCAGTCCCAGACCGCAATTTCCAAGCAACAGGCCGCAGACTGGCTGTTGCGGACATCAGGGTCAGCATCCTAGCTGCTGCAGTCTGTTATGGATTGTTATTATTTGTTATTCATACTCTTATTGATATTACCATTATTCATGTTATTGTATTAATATTATTATTGATATCTGCATCTTTGTGAGGTTGTGACAGCGATGAGCACCGAGACATGCAGTTCCATGGCCTACCACATGGACGACCGTCACAGTCTAAGCAATATCCAATCAAAGTAACTTGGCAGCTGTAAACACACCACCCTTTCAAGGCAGACTGAACATTCAGGAGTCCAAGGACCATGCTGAAACTCGTGGGATGTGATACCTAGCTTGCTGTCTCAGATCCTGTATGCAACATTCGGCACTACAGGACAACTTTGGCAACCTCATGTTTGAGACAGCTTCGTTGGCACAGCTAGACACAACCATGTGTTACGGCCTCAGCATTGCCTTGATGAGGAGTGGAAAAGACAATGAATCAGCAGCTAGGAAGGTGATACCAGCAAATTTCGGGTAGGTAGCGTAACCTACACCCTAATTTGTTTTCACTGTCGAAGGAATTGCCAGGCTTCGGACCCAACATTAAAGCCTGACAATCCTTGAGTGAATTTGGCGCGCTTAGATTTTGCTAGTTTTCTTCATCGATGGATCCCTTCCTCTATTTCCTACAGACAGCAAATCATGCTCGCCCGTCAGCACGGTCTACTGGTGCAAGGTATGGACGACCCTGGTTGCCAGCTCCTGCTGTGCTATTTCGGAAGCCCACAGGCTATTCGCAACAAACTCATATAGGGATTATAGAATACATTGGGGTTATATAGGGATTATAGGCTATATGTTGGGGCTATATAGGGATTATAGGGTATATGTTGGGGTTATATAGGGATTATAGATTTGCTCTGCAGAGGATGGAGCATGACATGGTGTGAGCCTTCATGTGCAGTATATAATCCCTATATAACCCCCATATTAATCCCTCTAATCCTTGTAGTTTCCATTTTATTTTCCATTATCCCAATATAAACCCAATATATCCCCTACATAATCCCTATATAACCAGGAGTATCCAATCCCAATGAGAGAGACTCTTGGCATCGGGCTCGTTCCTGCCACCAGCCCAGTTTGTTGTCTTCCGGAAGCTGATAGCTTCATCGAACATGCGGCTAGCTAATGCATGTGGTACAAGGTCTTGGAAACGGCGACTCTTTATCGCGGCGCAAGAAACAGGCGGGCTTGTAATTGTCAGTGCAGAACTCTGAAGCTTGGAAAATTAGGGGCCCAAGACACCCAGCTGCTTCCTTTCATTAGCCCAATGTGTACTGGTTGAACCCTAAGCCCTATATGAGCTATAGTCTAAACTCCTTAAAGGGCGGTTATTTGGGGGATTATACAGCGGACTACTAGAGGTTATTAAGAGGGATGCTATGAGTTTAGACTATAGCTCATATGATCCCTAAACCCTAATCCCAAAACCCTACGCCGGCCCTTCCAGGATTCAAATCCAGAAGCAGCGTGCCTGGCCTGTTGACTGATGTGGGAGTTTCCCATATGACGGACTACAGCATATTAATTAAGGACTACAGTATGGCATTTAGGGGGGTCTGTCTATTTAGGGAAACTGCCATGTGGCCGCGTGCCAAACTTGGAGCTTTGCTGTCCGTGCAGTGTAAAATCTCCATAAGGTTTGGGGTTTAGGGTTTATTGGGGTAATATTGGGATAATGGAAAAGAAGATGGAAACTACTACATTATAGTAGGTATATATTGGGGTAATATTGGGACATGGAAACTACTAAAATCTCCATGTTGGGTGAAGGCCCTCAGCTCCCTAGAAGTTTTGAATTCCAGATCGGACGGGGACAATGACCTTGAACAACTGAGAGCCTTCCAGTGCCAGGACCACCACCTCAGGGAACATCAGCTGGATCTCCGTGGAAGAGAGCCAGAGCTTAGGCACCAGTTGCGACAACTTCTTGCAACTGTTCTCATGATGGCGGGCAGCCTGCGCCGTACCATTTCTGGATTTTTCTACAAAAGACGTCATACTATCTTTTGCTGTTGCTATTGGCTTGGTGTTGTTTGCTACTTGTAGCTTCATCATCCTCTTCCTGCATTCCTGTCAGGTGGAATTCTGGATGCAGGGCAAGTCTGCACGATCCTCAGGACAAGAGCAACAAGAAGAGAAGAAGACGCACTCAAAGGTGTGTGGAATCAAGCATGGGCAGAGAAGCTAGCGCTGGGAACGTGAGCGATAGTAATCGTAAACATATGCACCGAACATAGCATTCAGCCCAGTGCAGGTAGCAGTTGATCATGGACATGTCAGAACAGCCATTGCGAATTGCTATGTTGCCCCATTGTATTTTTTTATAAATACTACTGTGATTATGCCTATCATGAATGACAATGGCTTGGTATCGCGGTTACTTTCACCATCCCCATTACAAGCCAGCCTGCTTCTGAATCCAATTTGCTAGGTACCCCAGTAGTACCCTTTTACCCTTTTTATTTGGGGGTCTCCTTATTAAAGCAGAAAAGTAGGAAAAAGGGTGCCCTTATCATTTAGGGTTTACTGGGGAACCTAGTGTGTTTCTCTGTGTCTCGAGGCCCAGAGTTGTCAGACGCCGTAGCAAGAGGAAGGGCCGCAGCCTCATCTCAGGGTTTAGGGTTTAAGGTTTAGGGTGTAGGGTTTAAGGTTTAGGCTGTAGGGTTTAAGGTTTAGGGTGTAGGCTTTAAGGTTTAGGGCTTTACAGGGAGGGTTTAAGGTTTAGGGCTTTACAGGGTGTAGGGTTTAAGGTTTAGGGTTTATGTTTTAGGGCTTAAGGTTCAGGGTTTAGGGTACCCTTCGAATTGCAGGGGGATGCAGGGGTTACTTGGCGTGTCAGGGGGACGTAGTAAGTAGGTTAATAAGGGGGTAAATGGGGTTGCTATATGGGTTACAGGGGTTATTAATCTACTTACTAAGTCTCCCTGGCCCTTCAAGTAGGTTGCGACGGATGGGATAAAAGCAAATTCCAACAAGTCCAATCTGCCTGCAACAGATCTGGCAAGAATTAGTTCAGACCGTTTTTTCAAGATTCCTTGTTGTCTTGTGAGTCGGAAAAAAGCAAGTGACACACGGTTCCGTTCAGGCCAGAATGTCTAACTTGTTGTTGATTCACTTCATAGGCGACAAGCTTTTCTCGGAATGGCCACAATGTTCTCTTGGGAAAACTTCGCTCGGAATGGCAACACTCTGTGCTAGCTTCAGGGGCTTCAACGCTTTAGAGTCAGAGTTTTAGGAATAAATGGGCTTCTTGGCTACCAAGGGCTCAGCTCAGAGGTTTTTGAGGATGTGTACGCATGCCCCAGATAACAAAAGTTCAAGCCTCAGACCTGGCTCTCAGAACTGCAGGAGGCCTTTCAAATGAAGGCGTAATCCACTGCCTCTAATGATAACCTTCCCCACCCCAAATGTGAAGTGCTAATTTATTGTTGGGTAGTAGAGGGAGGGATTACGTGCTACACGTAACAAGTAACAGTCTACGGGACTCTGAATGCTGCCTTGCAGCTCAGATCGTCGGCCTGTCTCCGTTCGGCCTCAGCGACAGTTTCCTGCTGGACGAGCCTGCCGGAATGTGCGATAGCCAGAACTGCCTGGACTTGAAACTGTTGGTCTTGCTTTGCCGGGATGGTTTTTCAATGTAACCCCCATATAAAAACAATATTCTAGTAGTTTCCATTCCATTCTATTTTCCATTCTATTTTCCAGTACCCCAACATAACCCCAATATTCTAGTAGTTTCCATTTTGTTTTCCATTACCCCAATATAACCCCATTTTATTGCGTGGAGAGAGGTATTACGCCTGTATCCTGGACGACGTGACGGATGCGGTTCAGGCAGCTCCGCTTCAGTCCGCCGAGCACTGAGCAAAGATTGAAATGGGGGTTTCCCAAAATTAGGGGTACCTTTTTGGGGGTCCCTATGATAAGGATTATAGTATATTGGGGTCTACAATGGGGTCCCCCTATTTTGGGAAAGTACCAAATGTGTGATTAAGTGGGGCAGGGTCCTGCCCGCTCGCTGTGACTTTCATGACTGCCAGTTCCTGTGGATCAAAGGTGGGGAGCTTTGTGGTCAGCGAGGTATGGATCCCAGACAATTGCAGGATCCTAGCAACTGCCACGGTGGTTGTATGACAATGAGGTCATTGGAAGCATGGAGCAGAGTTCTCTACCATCAACTCGGACTACGTTGAGACTTGATGTTCTTTGGCAGCAAGAAGGAGGAATGGCACCAGTTTTTTTTGACTGAAAAGCAGTTTTGCTTTCACTGCATCTTGCGGTGTCGAGGTGGCTGCGCGGCTGGCTGGTGTTCTCACTTGCGTGATCAAGGATCCGCAGGCGAGGCGTCAGAAGAATGATCGAGAACGCCTTGGTTCCCTCACTCAAGCTGGAGCACCCGGCCTTCCCCTGGTCAAACAGCTCGTCTTTCATCAATCTCCCCACGCAAGCAAGCCACACACCTTTCCACAACCTTCCATGTTGACCTATGCAGGTCACCTCCACAAAAGCTCAAGAGATCCTGGCAGCTGCTGCTGCCGCAGTCGAGGGCTTTACCGGAGCAGCCGCAGCCCAGTCGCTACCCAAGTGCTTAAAAGGGCCAACAATGGCATAGGCAGCTGTATGTGATCATGTCTTGTTACAACTTCTACAGTATACGGTATACGTATAGAATTATATATATATATACATATATATATAGACATGTATATATATATATACTTATATATATATATGTATGCACACCGTTGATTAGGCAACGTTAGCTGCAGGCTCTATGCCTTTGCGCAGAGATCCGCCTTGCTTGACTGGCTACAGAGCCCGGACCGCTGATCAAACACAGCCGATTGAGCTCAGCGATTGCATAGGAACACTTGTTATCACTTCCCAAAGTCAGGCATAGGTTCGAATTCTACTCGTACAGAACCCATGAGGACCTGACTTATCACCAAGAAGGTGAGGTACAGCTGCGGGGAATAAATGGGTTAAACCTGAATGGAATGTGCAATGTTAGTTGGTTACCCTGCCCAGTGTAGTGAGGACTTTGAGTCCTTGTTTTGCTTCACACAGATCAGTGCTGACCCTCGTAATTTTCCTGTAGCTCTCTATGTAACTCCTTTCAAGCCCATGTTTTACCTGCGGGAAATTTCGTACGAACCCCGTGCAAGCCCCCAACAGCCCTACGAAGCCAAGTGCAGGAAGACACCTTGGCACTGGCCATCGTCACGGTGCCGGCAGCAGTCCCGCCAAACATCACTGTCTCTCTGGTTTTGGCCGGGCGCTCGCATGGTGGTGGATTGCGACCATGAGCATGAGCGGTTGTTCTTGTGGTGGTAGCAGCAGCACCAGAGTTCTCCCTTGCTTGTAGCGCTTCAAGATCTTGATGTCGAAGATGTTGTGACTGTGCAGGCGACCTTGCTGCAGACTGACCATGTGCCTGCTTGGTGCTGGCATTCCGCCACAGAGGACTCGGAGGTTTCAAAGCAGCTTCTGCCTTGACTCCTCTCGGACCCCTCACTTGGAGTTGGTAGGGAATAAGGAAATGAAATATTGAGGGATTGTATAGGGATCGTAGTCCCTTATTCCCTACTATAACCCCAACATAGACCCTAATTCCTTACTATTATAACCCCACTATAGACCCTACTCTAATGTAATAGTTTCCATTTCCTTTCCCTTATCCCCATATAACCCCAATTAAATTCCCTTATTCCCTACCAAAGAGCCAGTAAGCAAATGGCAAGGAGACCAAGATGGTGACTCCCAGCGATCCCAATGGCCAGCAGTTTACTCTTCCTGGGCAGGCCCAGAAGACACCAGTTTAGCTAGACACAGGATATTTTATATATATATACATACCTATACTTACACACACATATATACATAGAGACAATGTGTGTATGTATATACAGACAAGAAATAGATATTTGTGACATCTTGCCATTCCAAAGTCTATCATGTTCGCGGCATTTGACACCGGCGAGGCGCCTCTGGCACACACCTTGCCGAGCTTTTTGTGGCCTGGTGCCTCATTCCTGGTCTGGTCCCTGGAGACGTCCTCAACGGCTTTGTTTCCCAATACTGCCATAAATGGAAAAGAAAATGGAAACTACTATAATGTATGATGACGTACTCGTGGTTAGTGGGGAGTTAGGGATTATAATCCTTACATAATCCCTACCATTTCCTACTAACCACCAGTAAGACTACTTGCTTGCAAGGTGTTCATGGAGAATGTGCCTGATAGTTCACAATCCCGCATCAAGCTGGTGAACGACACAGTGGAGTGCGACGCATCAGCCTTCTCGGAGGCAGGCAAAGCTTTAAAGTCCAGAGATATGGGGGTTTCCCAAAATTAGGGGTACCTTTTTAGGGGTCCCCATAATAAGGACTACAGTATTTTGTGGTCTATATTGGGGTTCCCTTATTTTGGGAAACTACCAGATTCACGTTGCATCTGATGGTCAACATCCAATTTGCAGAGCAAACCCTTGCAGGCAGTTCCTGTTGTGCAGAACATGTCGGGCTCGGAGCAGCCCATTCGGGCCTACTTGACAGCGAACCCGTCTGGGGCCTTCTCTTGATGACTGCTGGCTCCTGAACCCCAATAGCTAGACTTCGTACCATGGTCAGGTTCAAGCGCCTCTTCTGTTTCTTCGAGCTGCCAACATCCCTGCCGGTTGCCGTGAATGCCGGCCGCCAGCAAAGAAGCGTAGCTTCAAAGATGAAAGCCAACATGCTACCACGCTGTCGTTGCCGCACTTTCCAGGCAGCTTCAGGAGGATTCATGCAGTTCTCGCAGGTGCCGTGCCAATCTGTTGCCAGTTGCCTCCAGGAAAGAGATACATAGTATACTACAGTATACTATAGTATATAACAGTGTATTATATAGTATAGTATAGTATAGTATATAGTATACTACATTGCCTCGGCTTGGGTCAGGACATTCAGCCCAGCCTCTCCCTGATCGTGGATGATGCCTTCATCCAACATATGACGCTTGACGAGCCATAAGTTAGGAAGTAGAACGCAGAGGACATGCTGCACACGTAAGGAGACCGCACAGTTTTGCTCAATCATGCCAAATCACCATGATGGGGCAGCAAAGCTGCTGTCCAAGCCACAGGAAAAAGAAACATATTATTAGACCAGCAGAGCTCGAGCAAGCACCAAGGAGTAGAGGCCTGGCTTCGAACCTGATTCTGTATGATGTGGCACCCGGAGAGCTGGCGCAGGCGAATGAGGGATCAAGCCCTGAACAGTCCCTGAAACTCAGTGAAGTCATTGGTGTGACAGAGGGGCGTGCAGCACAATCTGGCATGCAGCATTTCGGAGTTTGTGCAGGCCTTCCTGTTGGAGGAAGCGGTGCGGTGCCAAGCAAGCTCACCTGAAGATTCTGCTGTATGTCGAAGTATGATGAAGTACACAGACAGACAGGCGTTGCGAGATATCTGATGAGGCATATCAGGCCAACGGTGGCCACTGTTTGCCCCCCATCGGCCTGGACGCAATGGTTGCAGAGGAGCGATTCTGTCGGCTTTCCTTTGCTTTGAGCTTTCTGCAGCTGCCCACGTTCCTGCAGACCGCAGCAAGCTACATCCAACGTTCGGCACCAGTCATGACTTCAGCTTTACATGCCTGCCATGTGAGCTATGACCTAAACTCCTCAAAGGGGGGTTATACAAGGGATAATATGGGGCAGTATTCTAGGGGCTATAAGGCTCAAAGCGGATACTAGGAGTTTAGACTATGGCTCATGTGAGAAGGCTGCTTCTGCTTCAAACGAGGTTCCTCTGAAGCCGGTCTCTGTCCTGCCGAGCCCGGTGAACGGTGCCACGCATTTTGTTGCTGTCTCAGCATCCAGATCACCGTGTTGCAGCTTGTTGTAGCTGATTGTCCTTGCAGGTGTCCATTGCAGAGGATGAGACTCAATCGTCGCATGCCCAAATCATCATCCTGAATCATCCTGGTGTGCATGATGATGCATCGTCGGGCCGGTGTTGGCATAAACCGCTGGCGTGACAACTGAGGCTGGGAATTGGGTCGAAGTATGTTCTCTGCTACGTGGGCTCGTCCTCAGACACGACTCGGGCCACGGTCTAAGCATAGCGCGTACAGGTCTCATGCCCCTTTTTGGTCTCGTAGATCAATCACTCAAGCAGTTGAGGTCTTCAACCAAGTTGGCCGCAGTTTGAGCATGATGGACATCATTCTGTCTTTGGACAAGGACAGCATCTCAAGAATGTGGCAGCTCGAAATCACCTAAACCCTAAACCCAATTCCTCGTGTGCTCACACTTGCGTTTCAATGGTTCTCACGCAATTAGTGGAAATGGACCCCCATGTCCACACCCAACAGCCCCCCAACCGCCCCAATAAGGACAGTAGCCCACTTGGCCGAAAGCTTGGCTCAGTTGCCTTGCCTTGAGTTAGCTAGGATACTTATAGTAGTCCCTGAATAACAGATTCTAGCATTTTTTATGTTCTTTTCCATTCCTCCTACGCCCTAAACCCTATATAACCGATGATAGTAGTTTCCATTTTCTTTTCCATTCATTCCCAGCTAACCAAAGGCAAGTCAGTTTCAGGAGCAGAGGCCACTGGGAGATGAGGCAGCCACATCCCAGGAGATCAATGCCATGGTTCAGGCCTGCTTTCAGTGGTTTAGGGTTTAGGGTACAAAAGGATATGTGGGGGTTTAGGGTTTGGGGTTGTATGAAAAGGTATATGGGGGTGTACAGGGAGATACCCCTACAATAATACCCCTCAGATGCTGCTGTGCCTGACATTTCCTAATATTAGGGGCAAAATTTGGGGTGGTCCCCACAATAAGAATTACATTATGTTCCCCCCCCATTTAGAGATCCCTTTACATAAGCCCCCAAGTACCAGTAGTTTCCATTTTCTTTCCATTATCCCTATTCAACCCCTATATAACCCTATATAACCCTATACAACCCCAAATAGCCCTATATAACCCTATACACTCCTATATAACCCTATGTAACCCTGTATAACCCTGCATACCCCTACATAACTCTACATAACCCTATATAACCCTACATACTCATATATGTGATCCTGTGTTTTTCTGGTGGGCAAGGCATCCCTGACTGGCAGCGTCAGCTGCATTGCCACAACTCGCACGTTCGACCGGGCATTGATCGCCGGCAGCTCATGTAGAATGATAATAATAATAATGGGTTTAGGGTTTAGGGTAATGCTTGTGATAATAGTATTCACAGTCATAGCAACAGTAATAATAGTAATAATGGCAATAAAAGTAGAACTGGTAATAGTAGTCATAACCTGGGTAGGATTCATCCAAGTTGCATGGCTGAGGCTGCGGAGCTTGTGGGCGATTATGCGACCAGCATGCCGCCGGACTGGAGCTTGTGACGAAGAAATAGGGGTTTCCCAAAATTAGGGGTACCTGTAAAAGGGAGATATAGGGGTTATTTTATAAGGATATATAGGGTTTTGGGTTTTGGGGGGTTCCCAAAATTTGGGGGTACCTTTTTGGGGGTCCCTATATAAAGACTATAGTATATTGGGGTCTATATTGCAGTCCCCTTATTTAGGGAAACTACCAAATTCGTCTTTACATCGCAAGTAGGTTTTCAAGATCTTTCGTGGAGTTTGCTCGAATTCTTGCACCGGTGCTGACAAGAACAAGACGGGTCAAGGCAATATTGAAAGAATTGTGGCAGGACTTCGTGCCCGTCTTCCAGGAAGCTCAAGTGCTGGGCAGAGCCCTGGATGTACCAGTGCCCTGGACTTCAAAGGTTCATGCCGTGCGAAAAAGAACAGGAACATGTGGCAGGGGACGGTCGCTTCCATTTGTCCACCGCTACCTCAGGTGCTCACGACAAGTGAGAACGTCACCGTGTCATCCTCAGTTAGTACCAATGGTTCATAACCCCCTCCCCTTAATGGGGATTATGATAGGGAATATACGGATAATGGAAAAGAAAATGGAAACTACTAAAGTATATTGAGGTACTTAATAGGGATTAGAACAGGGAATATAGGATAATGGAAAAGAAAATGGAAACTACTAAAATTTACTTATATATATATATTGGGGTACTTAATAGGGAATATGAAAATGCATTTGCTGATCTCTGCAGTAAGCTCCGAGCTCTCTGGCGCATGTGGTAGTTTCTCAAAATCAGGGGATCCTTACATAGGGGTTATATAGGGGTTACATAGGGATAATGGAGAAGAACATGGAAACCACTATAGGATTTAGGGTTTAGGGCATCCCAATGTAGACCCCAAAAAATTATAATCCTTATTATAGGGCCCCCAAAAAGGGTACCCCTAATTTCGGAAAACCCTATGTCCTCAGTTGCGTAACCCCAGGTCCGGATCGAAGCTAGCCCACAGAGCGCCGCAAACATTCAGCGGATGCCGCTGGGGGTGGCGCCGCAGGCATGCTAGTAATAAAAGTAATAAGAAAAATAGTATCAGTAGCGATGGCAATGATAATAATCGTAAGAATAGTAATAGTAATGGAAGGGGATCTGCGTCGGCTTGTACGGCTGTAATGCGCGGACAGGTATTTGTGTGGTGCAAGCACTCTAAGTCCCTCGTGGTATTCCCAGAGGCGCATTCGCTTTGTGACAGCCCGCCTCTAGTCTAGTGAGTTCGGTGACAGCCTCGAAGGACGGCGATGGCATTGCGATCAGTTTGGGTGTTCTTGCTGCACCCAACTTTGGCTACGTGTCATTGGGCAGCCCTTTGACACAGGCAAGGAATTGTAGAGATGGGCAGCTGCCATGAATTCTGTTTGTATCTTTCACGCAGGTGGTGCTGGCCCGCAGCGTGTCATTCCCGACACTTTCCGTACTTTGGTCACAGTCTGGCTTCCCTGCGTATTACTACGACGAGGTACCAACCTTGCGGCCTTGGCCGGCTCAATCTGGGGGGTTTGCCAAAATTAGGGGTACCTTTTTGAGAGTCCCTATACTAAGGACTATAGTATATTGGGGTCCATATTGGGATACCCTAATTTTGGGAAACTACCATATGGACAGTGAAGTGTCATTGCATGACTCTGGAGGTGGCCTTCACCATCACACCAACACTTCCGGATGGTATCCTGATTAGTGATCAAGATGGGGTCTGGCTGGCGTGCTTACCCAGACCCCCTAAAGGATCCAAAAATGGAACCCCCTAATAATCCCCTAGGTTCCCCAATGTAACAATGGGTTCCTACTAAGGGGGCTCCATTTGTTGAATCCTTTAGGAGGTCTGGGTAACTTAGACAGCAGCTTTCCAGGAGTCAGCATAGCGGAAGAAAGTTGACTGCCAGGGTATTAAAGCAGACCCTCTACCTCTGCAGCTTCTGCCTGCAGCAGACTTCGTGGTCAAGGCGCTGTTCTTTTTGGAGCCCTAAACCCTGAAACGGGAGGAAGAGCTCCGCGTGAGCCCTGGACAAAATTTGTAGCATATCCCTTAATAGGTCCCCCCAAAACCCTATATAGTCCAATATAGGTCCCCCCCAACCTAAATTTAGTCCGTAACTCACGTGCGCAGGCTCAAAGCAAGTTCGACGTGCTGCAGGCCACGAGCACCACTTTGAAGCTGGCAGTGGAGGACTCTTAGTCTTGACCATGATGAGTTTAGGGTTTAGGGGTTTAGGGTTTAGGGTTAGGGTTTAGGGTTTAGGGCGCTTTTCTTCTAGTATTGGAGGTTTCATAAACATGGGAACCCCTTATACACCCCCAACATATAATGGTTATAATAGGAACCCCCAGAGGGATCCCTGTATTTGGGAAACCTCCCCAATACTCTTGCAAATACAGTATTCGTAGGGTAAATCAGTTGGAGCTACAGCAGCCCCAACATATAGGGTTCTGGGGACTCTTACTCATTGGGGTAATATTACCCAAATAACGGAGAGTCAAATGGAAAAGAAAATGGAACATGAAATGGAGACTGGGATTGTAATTATACATATAAACGGGTGGTTGTCAAAATTAGGGATCCCTTTTTGGGTACCCTAAATATTACGTGCCGTATTATACTTGGGATCCAAAAAAGGACCATCATTTTGACAACACTTAAATGTACGATGGACTGGAGGCTAGGGTTTTCAGGGGTATATCAAGGAATGAAAGCGAAATTGGAAACTACCAATGTGGTACTGACAGGTTCAGGAGGGTAGTGATAGATGTGGGGTGGCCCGCAGAGGCCCGTGGACCGAAACTTTCTCACCTTCTGAACTCGTTTGGCTTACCGAGGATCAGTAGGGAATAAGGGAATCTACTTGATAGGGATTATGTAGGAATTATGTTGCCTTTACATTCCCTACTGATCACCAGTAAGTGGGGTATCTTCAGGGTGCACCGCCTCGGTGGTCTTTAGGCTCAGACAGCCACATCGTAGTAAATGAAGCAGACTCCCTCCACATCGTCGCCACATCAAGCACTGGGTGATCAAGCTTTTGACCAGGCAGTGAATCTCACCAAGACAAGCAGCCAAAAAAACAGTTAGTGATAACATACAAAAAGGTCAAAAAGTCATGTCATAAAAGGCCTGGCGTGCGCTTGATGCTCGGCGCCGTGGCCGGCACAAGCTCATGTCTAGCGGGCCCATGGCAGCTTCGCTCGCATTTCCGCCAACGCACCTAGACGTGTTCCTTCAGTATTTACCAATTTCCTGCATTCACACTTTGAGGGTGGCTGCGAGCGGACTGTGGCAAGAGGCTGATGAGCATGTACAAGCAAGATGCAGGGCTATTCTTCAAGAGCTAGTTCCGGACAAGGCAGCTCGAGAGCATTTTCGCGAACTGTTCGGATGCAGCAACGACCAGGCCCTCCTTTGCATGCGACAATGGCTAGTGAGCGTCGATGGCTCCACACAATTTGGCCAGTGGCGCACGCAAACCGCTGTAGCACGTTTGATGACAGGAGTCAGTCTGGATGGTGCTGATCTGTTTGCGGCAGTTAAGAGAGCCTTCCTTGCAAGCCAAGAGCCACGGCTTGCTGGCAATGAAGCCGTAGTTCTGTGGATGCACGTCCTGGGCGCTCTTGAAGAACAAGACCCAGTCCAGTCTAAGATGTTGGCGCACGAGGCATGGGAAAGCCTTGCTGGGCAGGTAAGGCAAGAGAACTTTCTATGGGTAGCTCAAACTGCACACTTTGTCAACGCCATGGACGAGGTGAGTAGCTGGATGGTCGTGGCAGGTGGGCCCACCAAATCCGAGCTACTGGCGTGGTTCAACATCTTGGACAAGCAGTTGCAGGACTTTCCCCAAAAATTAACACTACTTTCCATGTTCCTTTCCATTATCCCTATATAACCCCCATATACGATAGTAGTTTCCATTGTCTTTCCCATCCCTATATAGCGATAAATCCCTCAAGCAGTTGCAGGGCTTTCCTATTATTACTACTATTACTGTTACTATTTTTATTATTACCCTAAACCTTACCCTAAACTTGAAACCCAAAACCTTAAACCCTAAACCCAAGCCCCAAACCCTAAACCCCAAACCTTGAACCCCAAACCCTAAACAGGACTTTCCTGTGACTGGGAGGTATGGTCCTGCAGGCAGGCCTCCCTAGAGCACACACCCTTTGAGCAAATAGGAGCACCGGTTTAGGGTTTAGGGCTTAAGGTTCAGGCTTAGGGTTTAGGGTTTATGGCTTTAGGGTGTGCGGTTTAGGGTTCAGGCCTTAGGTTTTAGGATTTAGGTTTTTGAGGGCTTTAAAGTTTGGGGTTCAGGGTTTAGGGTTCAGGGCTTAGGGTTTAGTTGGTTTAGGGTAGCCACATGAAACCCCCCAAAGGTGCCTTTAAAGGAGGTTATAGCGGATATATAGGGTTTAGGTTTTAGGATTTATGGATATGGGGATTCCCAAAATTCGGGGTACCATTTTATTTTGGTGGTCTCCATATTAAGGATTCTAGTATGTGAGCGTCTTTTTTTGGGTCCACCTGTTTACGGAAGCTGCCATGTAAGGTGCAGCGCATGTTGAAGTTAAACCACTCCAGTGAACTAATATGGGAACTACCTAAGAATATAGGGGCTATATAATGACTATACAAGGGTTATTTATGGCAATGGGATTAAGGGTCCCCTATTATGTAGGGGTCCCTCCTACAGTCCCTGGAGTGAACACGAAGCGTTTGCAAGGGCAGTGCTGGTGTTGCTGGTCGCATGCTAGTTTCCGAAGGTTGGGGGGACCCTCATATGTCATATACCCTGCAGTGCTATAAACTTAATTAGAGTACCCCTCAAGACGGGACCCCATTATGAAGATGTGAAAGGTGACTCTTCGCAGCTGCGGTCCAGACACCTGGCAAGAATGATGCAGAAGCTGAAGTGATTGTAGGCGGCCAGCTGTGAACAATGACATGACAGCACAGAATTGTTTTCCATTCCTTGTCGCATACCAACTGTGACGAGTGCACAATTTTCAATTCGGCTTGGGCGCGCTGCTTGCACAAACTGGATCCCCAAGCACGAATGCAAAACTTACCGGTTCTTAGTAGGGACTACGGGAATATAATCCCCACATAATATTCCCTTATTCCCTACTCAGAACCAGCAAGAGTGGGCAACTCGGTCCCACCGCGTCCCTGCTCATGTGTTGTGCATGCACGGCTGCATACACTGTCCATAATGATGTGCTAGTGTCTATATAACCCTATATTACGGCCCATGTTTTATTCAACGGTGAGGAGCCAGCCCAATGTGGTCTCTCCAGCATCAAGAGCACGGAGGCAAGCAGCTCCTGTCTTGTTCCCATGAGCTTCAGCGAAGCAATGTACTCCAGACCCTTGATTAATAAACGCCTCCCCTTAATAGGGATTATAATAGGGGTCCTAATACTTAGGCCCTTACAAGGAGGGGTTCATTAATCATGGGTTTACATTACCCTAAATCCAAACCCTAAACCCTTAACACCCCTTGTTCCTGTGGCAAGGCCATGGTGACCTGCATCATTCATGACGCCAGCAACATGAAGGTCGAGGCGCCCCACGTCGCACAAGGGTTGTTGTCAAAGCAGAGGTGGATATTTGTATTCCAAGCTTACTAGGGCTTAATAGGGATTAGTTATATTCCTCATTCCCTGCCAAGAATCGAAGCAAGAGGTTGCCAAGGTTTTGTGCCCTTGCTGGGCACAGAGTCAGAAGCAAACCCAAGTAGCCCGTCAAATGCTTTCTCCAGATCCCCAGCGGCTCCAGATGCTAGGGTACTTGGAGGGTCAGGCGGAATCAGCAATTAGGTTAACAATGGTGACAACTAGGTTACTATTTCGGTTATAGGGTTGCGAACCTGCTTACGAAGTCCCGCTGACCCTCCAAGTAGCCTGTCTTGCTTTGGTTGCAGGCCATCTACCTCCAAATCGTCCTCAAGACTGGAGAAGCCTTGGATCTATTGCCATCGACTTGGCTGTCACAACACCTTGTCTTTGAGATGAATGCCCCTGTCCCCTATTATAATCCCAACATACACCCTACTATACAATACAGTAGTAGTTTCTGTTTCCTTTTCCAGGATGCCCGTATAACCCCAATAGATACCCTATTATCCCACAGTAGTTTCCGTCATCCCTGTTCAACCCCAACATATTCTCTACTAGACCCCACCAGCCCCATTACAATGTAGTAGCCTCTATTTTCTTTTCCATTATCC